CTGAGTGCATCGTTGGATATTTGGTTCTAAAAACCTATTTTTTAATCGTAATTTAATGCTAATTTCTTTCTTCAAAAGCGAATTTTGATGATCTTTTGCTCTTTGTTCTCCACAGATTCTTTTTCTTAATTTTTTTCTTTGCGAGAATTCTGGACCATCCTGTGGAAAAGATTGTTGGAAATACAGGGGGAGAGGGGAGCAAAGGTAGGCTGGGAATATCCCCCTGGAATATATCCATAAAAACAAGATTTAATAAAACCAAACCTTCAACAACGTGATTAAATTCCCAAGAAAATTCACGATTCCCGAAAAATTCTATCGTTTGCTTGGTGGGTTAAGTGAAATTTATTTATCTCAGGTGTTTAAATTGAGATTTTTCTTTCTTTTAGCGCCTTTTATTCCGGGCTGGTTTTCGACTTGCATCTCAATCTTTAAATCCATTTCTTTTTTTTTTTTTTCCCATCGCACGGGAGGACAAAGAAATGAAAGAAAGAAACTTTGAATTGGTTGAATTTGAGTTTGAATGATTTTATTTTATTTTATTTTATTTTATTTTATTTTATTTTATTTTATTTTATTTTATTTTATTTTATTTTATTTTATTTTATTTTTTAATTGTCGGGAATCTCTCTGTGATGGATTCTGGCCAGCAGAAGGCACCACCAGCTCAGTTTTGAGCTTCCGTTCCCGGCTGGATTTCGAAATTCCAGCAGGAATTTAATCACCCCCTCATCTCGGATTCTTTAATATTACCAAGAAATTTTGAATTTCTTTGGTTTTTTTTGGTTTTTTTTTGTTTTTTCCAGGTTTGAACAGCTCGGAATTCCATGAGCTCAGGATGGGGTTGTCCCGGCAGGCGCTGGCCGGAGCTCTCGTCTTTTTGTTCATCATTTCGGGAAATTTGCTTTCAGCAGAAAAAATCAATTTTTACAACATCAGGCCCCCTCTAGACCGTGAGTAACGTTTTTATGGAATTCTGGCCCTTTTCTACGTGAAATTCCAGCTGAAAAAAATTCATTATTTGGCCCCATCCTCCCCCCTCCTACGGGTTTCAGCTCTTGTTTGTTCCCCATTTTTAAAAAAAAATAAATATTTTCCTTCTCAAGCCGCAGCACTTTAGCCTTAATATTTGACAAGTCGACAAAATGGAAAGAAATCATCGACTTTAGCATTTTAAGGGGTTTTTGGGATATTTTTTTGTGTCTCCCCACAAAGGAAACGATGCAGTGGTTTTATTTTAAATAACCCAGAACAGGAGGTTTGGGG